TTGAGGTATACCTGACGAGAAGATGTGCCGTAATTTCCCGAACGCTGCCCAACCGAGTTGAATCCGTCGATTGACCTCTCGGTCGAAGTTGGACTTACCTAGTCGGACTATTTGTCCCAGGTAAACATACACGTCAACAACTTCGAGCTTAGTGTTCCCAACAACTACCGGCATAGGTGTGACATGGGCATTAAACATGATCTTTGTTTTGTCCATGTTCATCTTAAGACCTATCCGTTGAGGAACATTATTGAGGTCATTGAGCATAGTGCTTAGGTCCTCCAGCGATTCTGCCATAAGAACTATATCGTCGGCAAATCGAAGGTGAGTGATATACTCGCCATTGATGTTGATACCGTATCCTTTCCAGTCCAGAAGCTTAAAAACATCTTCCAATGCAGCGGTAAAGAGTTTCGGGGATATGACATCAACCTGTCTTACACCTCTCTGCAATTGGATAGGTTTCGTACTCTGGTTCTGTACTCGGATAGCCATCGTAGCCCTACTGTACAAGCACTTCAACACTTCGACATACCGACAGTCAACTTGGCATCTTGGCATCGCAGGGACTGCAGCACCGCGCAAATTTCGACGGAATCAAAGGCTTTCTCATAGTCCACATACGCCAGACATAGTGGCAAATTGTACTCCTCGGACTTTTGTACAATTTGCCGAAGGGTATGTATGTGGTCTATGGTGCTAAAGCCTTTTTTGGAAACCGGCTTGTTCGGGAGACTGGAAGTCGTCAAGTCTGCGCGCGAGACGTTTCGTAATGACTCTCGAAAACAGCACGTAGACGCGGCTCAGAAGGGAAATCGGTCTGTAGTTTTTCAAGAGAGCGTTGTCGCCTTTCTTGAAGAACAAGACCACCGTACTTCTGCTCCACGCCTCCGGTGTAATGCCACCATGGAGGACGGAATTAAAGAGCTTCTGAAGGACTTCAAGTACCGGTTTTCCACCCGCTTTCAGAAGCTCCGCTGTAATTCCATCCTCGCCTGGGGCCTTGCCGTTTTTAAGGTGCTGGAGAGCCATTCTAATCTCGCTCAGACTGACGTCCGGGATATCATCGGAATAATGTCGGATAAGACTCGCTCTTAGATCGTTACTCACACTTGCGTACGGCTCCAACGATGACGTGTACAGCTGCCCATAGAACCTCTCAATCTCACTCAAAATCTCAGGTGTCCCGGAAACGATGCTGCCACATTCGGTCTTCAGCTTTGACAGTTGGCTCTTTCTGGCAGACAGATCTCTGGCAAAGACTTTGGAGCCTTGGTTCCGCTCGATCGCTTCTTCAATACGAGCTGTATTGAAGTTGCGTAAGTCCCGCCGCATGCATTTGGAGCTCTGTCTGTTCAGATGCCTGTATGCTGTCAAATCTGTTGAAGAATGTAGCTTCATCTCCCGTCTAACAGCCATGAGATTAAGAGTGTGATCGGAGAGTTTTTGTGTTCTTCTGCGGCGGGTCTTGCAGAACTTAGCTCCGACCGCATGGACAGTTTCCACGAGCTTGTCATTCAAATCGTCCACTTCATTGCAGTTTTCTAGGCACTGAAAACGGTTTTGTAACTCGAGCTGAAAGGTTTCGGGACTTTAGATTAGAGCACGAGGGGGACGGAGCGTTGACTTCATTAGACGAGACCTCTCCAACTTAACGTTTAGGTTCAGTGTGCCTCTAACCATTCGGTGATCGCTGCCGGTTTTCACTCTCGCGATCACTGAGACATCACTGAACAGTTGTCGTCTGGTCGTCATAATGAAGTCAATCTCATTTTTTGTCGAACCGTCGGGGCTCGACCAGGTCCACTTCCTGTGGGGCCGCTTCTAGAAGAAAGAGTTCATCATAAAGAGTCCCTCTTTCTCCATGAAGTCGGCCAGCTGCTGGCCCCTTGGGTTCCGTTGCCCTATTCCAAATTTCCCCACTTTCAGCTCACCGTTCTCTCTTGTGCCTAGTTTTGCATTGAAGTCTCCCATTAACACCGTATATTGGGTTTTGGAGGAATGCATGGCTCTAGAGATATCCTCATACATTTCCTCCACCTCCTGATTGGGGTGTGCCGAGGTTGGCGCGTAAACCTGTATGACCTTCAGCGAATACCGTTTGGTGATTCTGAGTATAAGGTACGCAAACCTCTTCGACACACTCTCAATCTTTACAACGTTGTTAACGAGAGACTTGTGGACGATAAATCCGACACCTCCTTGGGACAGATAGTCGCCCTCCCGGTAATAGAGCAAGTTGCCGGATTCGAGGATTACCGTGTCCTCCCCCTCTCTTCGGACTTCGGATAATCCTATAATATGCCAGCGTAACTTGTCTATCTCTTCTTCCAGCTCCACAATCTTCTCGTCAGTCTTCAGGGTGCGTGCGTTGTATGTTGCCAGGTCGAGTCGTCGTAGGTGGCAACCGAACCTCCACCGGAGATTCTTAGCACCCCCTGCCCCGCCGTTACCATGGTCATGTTTGTGTAGTGCAAGGGAAATAAATAAATAAATGTGATTGTGTATCTGGGTGTGACTGATGGTGATTGACCCGAGTAGACCTTGGCCGTCGGCAGCAGCCCGGGCGTCGACACCGCTCCAAATTGAGGGAACCTTCCGCGGCGTTGCCCACAGTCACTTTCCTCGTTCGTCACGATGACAGTCCATTAACTCTATCGTACGATTAACGTTTCGCGTAGCAACAGTTATTTCTAGAATATCTAAGGTCGCACTAGCTAATATTGTCGAATGCACTTATACAGATTCTGAGTCGGACCCAATAAGTCCCGGGAAAGGCTATCCAGCAAGGAATACACGTCACAAATCCTAGACCGTATATTAACGGGCCGCGCCTAATTATTCCGAGTTCCCGAACAAAATTACAGTGTGCTAGCGTTAGCACAGCTGGCAGACAACTGTTTCGTCTTTACGCGTTTTCAACCCACCGCTCCGCCGACGTCAAAACCGGTATGGCACCGAGCCGCGCGGCCTCTCGCGTTAGTTCCTGAAATTAGCGTTTGGCGCGAACAAATACTTTTCTTGTTTAGTAGGATTTATTTATACAATACAATACAATAACTTTATTTCAGGCATCAAGGACTTAACAATTAAGAACATTGGCCCATAGCAATATATACCTTAACCTAAAAATATACATAAAATATAGACATAACTTAACACTATTTAGGGAACTTTTTTCTTTGGCGCGTCTCTGTATCGGCGAAACACTACCCCAGAGGGCCAGAAATCGGAAGCGAGGAATGTCTCTTTATGTTTTGCAGGAACCTGGAGTACGTAGGATTTGAAGTTCGTTGACCTATTAGACGCCAGACGTTGCAAATGTAAAGAGATCGGATCCTCAATGCGGCAACGGCTTCGTTCTTCCACGAAACGCAGGACGTCTTCTCCCGACGTACTTTTGTCCAAACGGGAGACGTAGAGTTGTGTAGTTGTCTCCACAGCATGCAGAGTTGTACTCGCGTTTATTTTCGCGGTTATATGTTTGTAGGTTATTTTGTTACCGTTTTAGCCTATTAAAGTCCACTCCTGAATATAGCTCTCTTCCATAGATTTCCTCATAGGGGCAATATTTACCATAGTTAATACATTTGGCAAACTGGTTTTTTTATTTTTATTTCTAGATAATGTGGTCACTAGACGCTTTTTGTTTTTAAATTTGATATATTTTACATCATTTTGAAAAGTGTGAGCAGCGTATCTAAAAAACTAGTCATAGATCCAACCAAAATGATGTTTGGTTGGATACTAAATGCCATGTGTGCGTCTTTAAGTCAGCCGTTTTACTATTTAAATTTTTAATTGTTAATAACATTATTGATTAAAAAATATATCCATTAAAATTATTTTATAATACGATTACATTTAAGTACATGTAATTTTAATATAATTTGATATCAAAAGCGTTTCAACACGTATTGGTATCTTTATAACTAATTTGCCAAAGTTACCATACTAGTGATGGCATAATGTGACAGCTATTTTGTTATGTTTTGTGATTATACAGCAAAATATAGAGTGAAAGTGTAGTATTTAAGTTAACCTTTTTTAAACTTTTTATGTTGGCTCGAATCTCACCGAGTGTATCGGTGAGTGGTGAGGCACGAAAGTTGTTTACGTCCGAACGCTGATTTCGGGATTGACGTTAGAGGGCGCGTGGCTCGGCGATACCGGTTTGACGTTCAGTCGTGCGTAGAACGCGCGAGGGCAAATAGGAGTCGTCTGTCAGCTGTGCTTGGAACAGCACGCTGTCATTTTTGTCGGGAACTCGGAATAATTAGGCGCGGCCAGTAAATATACGGTCTACCATTGTGACGCGCATTCCTGCTGGAGAGCTTCCTAGGGACTCATTGGGTCTGACTCAGAATCGACATAAGTGCATTCGGCAATATTAGCTAGTGCGGCCTGATATTCTAGAACTAACTGTTGCTACGCGAAACGGTAGTGACCTTTGATCCGTAAACTCCGTGTGCGGTTTGTGCGTTAACCTTATACCCAGCGATAGTTAGTGGCTTCTGTAAGTTAGTTAATCGTACGATAGAGTTAATTGATTGTCATCGTGACGAAAGAGGAAAGTGACTGTGGACAACCTCGGAAGGCCAACTCAAGTTGGAGTGGTGTCGACGCTCGGGCTGCTGCCGACGGCCAAGGTCTAGGTTCAATCACCATCAGTCACACCCAGATACACATCACATCACTTTATTTTCCTTGCACTACACAACCACATGCGACCTGAACGACTCCGGAGGGACCAGTCGCCTTGGATATAGGTAAGTAAGCTACGTCCAAATTCCTCCCGGTCGACTGGCCGGAGTATAGAACGCTCCCCCATATATTTTAGTGTAATTAGAGAGATTCCACGTGGTCACATTGAGGCCCGACCTACGTCTGCTCGGGAAGTCTTCAGCTCATGGGCCCCTGAGGATTTGACCCTTTAAGGGAGCAGCCGTAGGCCGTAAGAAAAGTGTTTGTGTGGGAGTGATACGGTGCGGTGTGGTCAGGAGGAGTCATGTCGCGGCGTGGCGGTGCGCGCGCTGGGTAACCTGCGGCGCGCCGACACGGCCGAGCTGCTGCTGGCGCAGGCCGAGGCGCGCGGCGCGCCGGCCGTGGCGCTGGGCGCGCTGCAGGCGCTGGGCGCGCTGCCGGCCGCCGCGCTGGGCCCCGCGCGCCAGCGCCGCCTGGCCGCGCTGGCGGCGCGCCGCGGCCCGCTGGCCGTGCGTGCCGCAGCGCTGGACCTGCTGCTGGTGCGCGCGGCGCCGCTGCCGCCGCCGCTGGCGCTGGCGCGGCTGGCGCGCGAGCTGCAGGCGCACGCGCCGCACGAGCTGCGCCGCCTGTTCTGGCAGCGCGCGCGCCAGCTGGCCGCCGACCACCGCCCGCTCCACGACGTGCTGCACATGCTCGCACCCGACCTGCGCGGCTGGGACGCACTGGCGCAACCAGGTCACGAACCTTCACCCTTTCTAACTTTTCATCTTTGCACGCCTGACCAATTCATTTTTGACCATAGCATTTTTCATCATAAATTCGGCAGATTCGATAATATTTTTAAAATTTTCCACATGGGCCCTTTCTGACTATATTGACATTTAATGTTTTACATTTAAAAAAAAAACAAGTTGAGAAATAATATATTTTAGTAAAATTAAGCCCTGTTATTAAAAATTTACCTTTTTTTTTAAAAGGATAAACTGACAAACGAGCACAATCCACCAGATGATAAGTGGTTGATGTAGCACATAAACATCTACATCTATCCTCGTTAACATATCAAAATGTAGATACGTTGTCACCCGTGAAGACTAAAATGAAATGCCTCTTTTCCAGTAAAAAAAGGTCTCCAGTTCTCTACTCACCATACAAAACACAGCAACGTCAAGCTTCTATTTCACGCTAGTATTCTGTGAGAGCGTGGTCCTTCCCCGGTCGAGCCGACCCATTCGTGCTACAACTATACTACTAATATAGCCGCAACATGGCTCTATCACGTTGTATAAAATAAATTACTAAATTACTTATTATTTAGTATATATAATATTTATTATATACAAATTACTAATATACTTACTAAATTGCATCGCCATTGCCAAAACAAAAACATTTTTCTTCTTCTTTAGAATTCCGATTTAAAACTCGATGAAAGCCAAAAGAAACACTAAAAAGAGATAAATATATATATCTATAGAATTTAACCTGCAAGAGAATGAGATACAGTATTATATTAAATTTAACTGTTTTAAATTTAATTGATAGATTCAGGCGTTACTTTACGGAAATCCATTATAATGGGCTTGTTATAAACTAATTTGCTTAATTCCGCGTGAAGAAAGAAAATGATGTGTCCTGTCCAGTTTTAAGGGGACCTCCCACCCTCCCTCAATCGCGCGCACTATACTCGTCGCCGTTAATCCCAGCACTACCGCCCACAGCACCACCACACTAGGCACGACACACCACTCTCGGCACGACACACCACTCTCGAAAATACGACACGTGTTTCGCCTCTACACGAGACATCCTCTGCGGAGGCTACGCTAAGCGGCCAGCCTCCGCAGAGTACCTACTTATTAGTTTATAACAACCCCATTGTTTTAAAATTTTTAAAACTAAATAACGTAAGTTCGAGAGCGACACTGAAAGTTTAGCACTAGCCACTTGTAAATGACATAATAAAAAAATAAGTTCAATTTTTGAAAATGGAACTCTGCCAATATTATTGTGTATGTATTTTATTAATTTGTCATTTGTTTACGATTTGGCGGCAAATAATTGAAAGTTATCTATGTCACGTCAGCATGAATTTAACGCGAGAACATTTTCGTTCAATGATTTTTTATGAATCGATATCACAAAAAAATCATTGTGTTTATGACTCGAAAGTTATGATAGATTTCTATTGACCTTTCGCGATGATGAACTGATTTAATGAGTTTAAACGTGGTCGCACTAACCTCACAAATGATCTGCGTGGGGGACGGCCTTCTACGCCGACGACTGAAGATAACATCAGTATTGTGCGGCGTATGATAGAGACTGACAAAAGAGTGACATATCAGCAAATTTGGACATGCTTAGTCATCGGCATGAGTTAAGTGCACAAAATCCTCCAAGAATATTTAGCAATCAGGAAGCTTTGTGCCCGGTGGATACCTCATAAAAACTCCGTCGTGTTGATTGGTATCATGAAATTGTTCAAATATTTAAAGGACGTAACACAAATGCTGTGATCGACATACTTACGGGTGACGAAAGCTGGATTTATTGTTATGATCCTGAACTATATAGATGCCCCAAATAATAATAATAATGAGAAAACTTTATAGATACCACATAATAATAACATATCACTAATAACGTAACAGTTAAGTGACAAAACTGCTACGTCAGTGCAGTCAGTCAGCGCCTTGCCAAGAGGTGTGTGTGCCGTGCCTCGGCAGAATTTAGGGTGCAAAGGTCCGTCTGTGCTTATGGCCGCACCATGAAACGGTGCCGGGCCTGGGCGTCTGCCGTTAATTGACGCCCATACAATGGATGATGGACAATAAAAGAGTGCGCAAAGGGCCGCTGCCTGGAGGTCGCCAGGGCGCGTCTGGAGCTGGCGCTGGACGCGACAGCATGCGGGTCGCCAGCCAAGCGCGGGGGGCTGCAAGACCACCAAGTAGCCGCCCGCATCCATCATCCCCACCAGAGGGCTTGGTGTCGGCTGGGTCTTCTCGGACTCAGCAAGCGGCACCCGCCGCTGGTGGAACACGTCGCATGCGTTGGACAAAAATGATGAACGCAAACGCATTGCGAGCGTATTTTAGGGCAAAAGGGGAAGAAGCTGGAATGTTGGCGTATCGGGCTGGGATGCATCGCTTTTTCGCGGAGTTGGAGCCATCTGTTCATGTATCAGAGCAAAACCTGGCAGACCGAGTTCGGTACATCCTGCGCTCCAACATATTTGGTGACGCCGAACTTGAACGACTACGACGTGAGGCTGTTCCCTCATTGGATGAAAATGCTACAGCTGGTAATGCGACGCCACAAATTGCAGAACAATCTGCACACGTCGATGCCGCCGCGGATTCTCCAGTTGTAGTTGATTCAGACGATGATGGAATGGTCACCCAAGAACTAGAGCAGTTGGAGGAGGCGATTGTGGAAACGCGCAGTACGCCTCTCGAAAATCGACCGCGACTACCGCGCATACCCCTAAGCAAGCGGAATCGGGCTGTCGTGAGGGCTCTTAACCCAATGCTGGTGACCTATTTGGAAGCCAGCCGGGACCTTTGCGAGACGGACTCAATTCTTTTTGGCGCCGCACTGGCAGCTTGCCGAATTATTGGCGCCAAACTTCCCACGGCTGGACGCGCTACTAGACAAAGTAGCGCCATCCCAGCCTGGAGAAAAAGGATTGAGGACCGTATCGCAAAGGCAAGGGTCCTCATCGGCAGACTGATAAGCTTCAGGTCGGGCAATAATAGGCCGAGAATTGTGCGCACCGTCAGGATGGCGTTTGCTGAGACAAACATCAGTTTGTCCCAGCCGGATATAACGCAAAAACTGACGGAGCGCATAGATAACCTGAAGCAGAGAATCGCTGCTTGGGGGAAGCGGATTCGGCGATATACCAAAAGGTCGACACGGTTCAACCAGTATCGTCTCTTCCAGAGTGTTCAGAAGAGGCTCTATGAATCATTAAAGCGACCAATGGTACGTGGAACGGGCCCAGCACCGAAACAGGCCGACACTATCGCATTCTGGCGCGGCCTGTGGTCAGAGCCCGTAAACCACAGCGAGGGCCCTTGGACGGAAGTTGTGGCGAGTCAGTGTGCGAATATTACGCCCATGGACCCCGTCATCATAACGCTGGATGACGTAGCTGAGGCGGTCCGTAGGGTCCCGAACTGGAAAAGTCCGGGAATCGACGGACTGCATCACTACTGGCTGAAGGGGTTCGTGGTGTGTCACGCTGTGCTCGCCCGACAGTTTCAAGAGGCTCTCGACCAAAAGTCTCTCCCGAGCCTCTTCACTACTGGGATCACTCATTTGGTTCCTAAAGACCGGGATTCCACAGACCCGAGCAAGTACCGCCCCATAACGTGTCTACCTACCATATACAAGACACTAACTTCCATTTTGAGCGCGAGAATCACTCATCAGCTGAAGTCAAATCAGGTGATGTTGCGCGCTCAAAATGGATGTCGGGGCGGTGGTCGTGGAACCAAGGAACCACTCCTCATTGACGCGGTCATTGGCAAGGTGGTTAAACGCAACCGTCGGAACCTCTCCGCCGCCTGGATAGACTACAAAAAGGCATTCGACTCGGTGCCTCATACATGGCTGAAGAGGGTCCTCGAGCTGTACAAGGTTGACTGTACAGTTCGAGACTTCCTCGGGCAGTGTATGGGGCAGTGGAGTGCGATCCTTTGTCATCTAGGCCAGCGGATGACGGCAGCGGAGAACCACATAAGGATAAGAAGGGGTATCTTCCAGGGCTATTGTTTGAGTCCAATCTGGTTCTGCCTCTCTCTGAACCCTCCTAGTACCTTACTGGAGGGTTCCGGGAGGGGATTTCAGCTTCGGAAAGGAGGTACAAAAGTGACCCACCTTTTCTATATGGATGATCTCAAGTTATTCGCCTCCAGTCGCTCCCATCTTGTGGAATTGCTAAATATCACTTGTGATTTTTGCAATTCTATTGGAATGGAGCTGGGGACGGATAAGTGTGCGATCCTCCATGTCGAAAGGGGAAGGGTTGCTAACTCTGAGGGCATGGACTTATCTATGCCCATCATCATAAGACCCCTTTCCGAGGCTGAAACATACCGATACCTGGGTATGTCACAGAATATCGGTGTCGATGAGGCGGGTATGAAGCAGTCAGTTTGCGATGTGTTTTATGCACGCTTGACAAAAATGCTTAACAGTCTTTTGTCGGGCGATAATAAGACATACGCTTATAACGGTTGGATCATGCCTGTTCTCATGTATACCTTTGGCATACTCAGGTGGACTCAGACCGAACTGAACGCTCTGGACAGAAAAGTCCGCACTATAATGACGTCCCACAGAGTGCATCATCCGAGATCGTCGGTAATGAGGCTGTACTTGCCGCGGAAGCATGGTGGGCGCGGCTTTTTAAGCGCGCTTACCCTGCATAATCGCGAAGTGTGCAGCCTCCGTAATTATTTTCTGGCGAGAGCGGATGATCCATTCTATAGGGACGTTGTTTTTTGTAATAAAGGACTTACCCCTCTATCCTTAGCCAACGAGCAATGGCAAGACCCGGCAGTACAGAGCATTTCCGACCGGGAGACCGTATGGAAGGAGAAGGAGCTCCACGGGAGGTTCTACAAGGCTCTACATGAGCCTTTCGTAGATACAGTTGCCTCCCTCCACTGGCTACGTTTTGGTGACCTCTTCGGGGAAACCGAGGGTTTTGTCTGTGCAATACAGGATCAGGTTATTAAGACGAACAACTATCGGAGATACATCCTTAAGGGATGGCACCGTCGACATTTGTCGAGCTTGTCGCCATCCCGGTGAATCACTTAGGCATGTCATCTCCGGTTGTTCGGCGCTTTCTAACTCTGAGTACTTGCATAGGCACAACCTATGGCAGAAATTCCTTATGGCAGAATTGCTGGAGGACCTAAGCATTATGCTCAATGACCTCAATAGTGTTTCCCAACGGATAGGTCTTAAGATGAACATGGACAAAACAAAGATCATGTTTAATGTCCATGTCACACCTATGCCGGTAGTTGTTGGGACCACTAAGCTCGAAGTTGGTGACGAGTATGTTTACCTGGGACAAATAATCCGACTAGGTAAGTCCAACTTCGACCGCGAGGTCAATCGACGGATTCAACTCGGTTGGGCAGCGTTCGGGAAATTACGGCACATCTTCTCGTCAGGTATACCTCAAAACTTGAAAACGAGACTGTACAACCAGTGCGTGTTGCCAGTGATGACATATGGAGCTGAGACGTGGTCCTTCACTTCTGGCCGGATGAGGAAGCTCAAGGTTGCTCAGCGAGCTATGCTCGGAGTTTCTCTGCGTGATAAACTCAGAAATGAGGATATCCGCAGTAGAACCGGAGTGACCGACATATCCCAACGGATTAGTAAGTTGAAGTGGCAATGGACCGGCCATATAGCTCGAAGAACCGACAACCGATGGGGAAAAAAGTTTTCGAGTGGCAGCCTCGTACCGGCAGTCGAAGTGTAGGGCGTCTCCCCACTAGATGGAGTGACGACCTCTTAAGATATGCAGGAAGTCGATGGATGCATGTGGCTCAGGACCGTGCTTTGTGGCATTCCTTGGGGGAGGCCTATGTTCAGCAGTGGACTTGTGAAGGGCTGTAATGATGATGATGAATGATGTATAGACAATCTTCATAAAATTATATCACTCTAACTTTACGACGTAGCGTAAAGTTAATATTATTAATTATATTTCATCGCTTCATTTTTCAGATATAAATATTCACCAGGTAGTCCCCTTAACCTACAGGTGACTCTATGCACGCTTAAAAAGACATTCATTTGACTAAACTGAAGTTAACTGTGAACCGATTTACCCCTACCACCGCCGACTCGCGGACGGGGTGAGTCGCCATTCTGAGCTCATTCCTTTTTCGTGCACGGTGACGACAGCACGCGTCTCCGAATAAGTTTTTACTTTATTCTTGCCTTTAGTATTTATAATTAAAATCATAATGCCAAAACGAAGTGCGGAAGAAAAAATCGAGTGTTACGAACGCAAAATTAGAAGATTACGTGAACGCGATATCGGACGACATCGCCGAATACGCGTCATATCATCCGATTCTTCCAATAGTGAAGGTAAGCATATAAACTTTTTTATTATTACGATTCATCATGAGTCAAGATTACGTAACTTTTAGGTTTCGTTAACACGTGTTGTTTTTTACACGCTACTAGCTTTCATCAGAACAGGCCGTGAGCCTCGTTTGTTGAAAAAATAACCTTCATCAGGACAGGCCGTGAGCCTAGTTTGTTGAAAAAATAACCTTCATCAGGACAGGCCGTGAGCCTCGTTCGTTGAAACAAAATGCTTCATCAGGGCAGGCCGTGAGCCTCGTTTGTTGAAGTAATTCACTTTTCTAACCCTAAAAATATTCGTTTTAGGTGTTGAAGATGCCGACCAACCTGAGTTAAGCCTTAAAAATAATGCGAAGGATCTCGGGAACTCTTCAGGACAGTGTCCCACACCATCCATCAGAGAGCCTGAGCCCATGCCGGAGCCCGACCTTACGCCAGAACCTGAGCTCGCAGTGGAGCCAGTGTCTAGACCAGAGACCAGGACAGAGAAACCATTAGAGCCACTGGCTTTGGAGGCAACCTCGTTGGAACAAAACCCGAACGATGAATCAGCCGAACCAGAATTGGACCCTGAACTTTTAGAAGCCCTCGGTGAATCCACCAGCGATACCCCAGAGTTTGGAGAAAGAATTCACGAGAGTTTAGCCAAATTGTGGCTTCCTCTACTCGTCAAAGGCTTGCCAAAAGATGAAAAAGAAAAAATTTTGAAGGAGTACTTAATCCCGGACAACTGTAGGTTGCTGCAAGCGCCTAAATTAAACGCAGAGATATCAGCAGCAGTTATAGACTCTGTAAGAAACAGGGATAAGATCCTGGTAGTTCACCAACAACAACTAGGGTCGGGGATAACAGCCATTAACAGAGCGCTGAATACTCTCTTAAGTGGGGATGACAAGAAGAATGCTATCCAACATCTTAGCAATGCCTGCCGTATACTATCGGATTTGCATACGGTAAATACGAATAGCCGCATAAAGCTCATTACACCAAACCTGGATAAGAACTTCCTCCACATAGTTCTAGATGCCGTAAGAGACGAAACTTTGTTCGGTAACAAACTTGCAGAAAAGATCAAGGCAGCCAGAGCAATTGAACGACAGGGTCTCCAAATAAAAAAGACTAATCCGAAACCTTCCAGCTCTCAATCCAATAGCCACCGCTCTTCTAATTCGGGAAACTGGTCCGGCCCACCCCGGTACTCATCGAACCGAGGCAACCGAGGTGGGAAGAAAACGACGACGCAGAGCCGCCGTCCATACCTGAGCTCGACGCAACAGCAGCCAGCATCGAAGCCTGCAGCAGCGAACAAGCCTCGTGCCCTGGCGCCCCAGTAACTCAGGTACATGCAGGCAGAATTAAGCACTTTTTTAATTGTTGGACGAGAATATCATCCAATTCAGTAATTTTAGATTGCATACAAAATGGTCTATACATACCCTTTTGCAAGGAACCCTGCCAAACAAACGTTCCTAGCAAGACCTTTTCGAAGTTAGAGCACCAGGAAATGACAACTGCGATTCAAAAACTGGTTGACTTGGGTGCCGTAACAGAATGTCTTCCAAGTAGAGACCAGTTTGTCTCCAAAATATTCCTTGCCCCAAAGACAAACGGCAGCAAGCGTTTTATACTAAATTTGAAACCATTAAATAAATATGTTTCAAAGTTTCATTTCAAGATGGAAGATTACCGAACAGCGGCAAAGTTAATACCTCAAAACGGATACTTAGCCACAATTGATCTGAAAGAAGCCTACTTACTAATTCCGATTCATGCCGAACATAGAAAGTATTTAAGATTTCAATTTAAGAGAAACACTCAGACCACGACCTACGAGTTCACGTCAATGCCCTATGGGCTGTCCATGGCTCCTAGGGTATTTACTAAGATTATGAAAGAAGCCGTAACTCATTTGAGAAGTGCGGGTTTTAATTCAATAGTTTATCTAGATGATATTCTCTGCATCGGCAATACTTATGACGATTGCAGATCTAACGTAAATGAAACTTTGAAACTATTGCAATGTCTAGGTTTCATCATAAATTTCGATAAAAGTTCGCTCCAACCTAAGCAAATTTGTAAATTCTTAGGTTTTATCTTTAACACTGAGAATCTAACCGTTTCTCTCCCAGATAATAAACGTAACAGTATTACACAATTGGTTCAGAAGTTTACTTATCTACCTACATGCACTATTCAAGAATTTGCTCAATTAATTGGTAATCTAACTGCGGCGTGCCCTGCTGTCCAATACGGTTGGTTGTACACCAAGCTATTGGAACGTCAAAAATATCTCGCGTTATTAGAAAATCAGAATTATAAGAGTAAAATCAATTTACCTAGTATTATCCTTGAGGATCTTATTTGGTGGACTAATAACATTCAAAAAACATCACATCCAATGCGAAACGCCGCCTATAAAATTGAAATTTACACAGATGCTTCATGAACTGGCTGGGGCGCAGTTCGCGATGAAGAACGCGCTCACGGAGGGTGGTCAGTTGGTGAACGTAATTACCATATAAATTATTTGGAACTATTGGCAATCTTTCTCGGACTCAAAAGCTTGGCATCTAAAGAAACCAATTGCGCGATACTGTTACGGGTAGATAACACTACAGCCATCAGTTATGTAAATCGCATGGGCGGAATACAATTCCCCCATTTAAACCAGATCGCTCGGCAAATTTGGCAATGGTGCGAAAAGCGTAAAATTTGGATCTACGCGTCATACGTCAATACTAAAGAAAACTGGGCTGACGCTGAATCTAGAATTATAAATCCCGACACCGAATGGGAACTCCACTTTACCAGCTTTCAAACCATTGTATCACATTTCGGCCAACCAAATATCGACTTATTCGCTTCCCGCACCAACGCCAAATGCACAAACTTTGTTTCTTGGAGACCGGATCCAGATTTTACTATAAGCTGGAGCGGATGTTATTTTTACGCATTCCCCCCATTTCCCATAATATTAAATTGTTTAAGGAAAATAATGGATGACAGGGCACACGGAATACTTGTTTTTCCTTATTGGCCTTCACAGCCCTGGTTCCCCTTATTACAAGGGTTATTAGCATCCGACATTCTGTTCTTGGGCCCTAATAAGAATCTTTTACGGTCACATTCTAGGGAACACCATCCTTTACACGCGAGCCTTACCTTGGGTGTCGCGAGGCTCTCCAGCAAGCTTTCTCCCGAAGATGCCCACCAGAGGCCCTCAACCTCATGCTAGCATCACTCTCCGATAGTACGGTAAAACAATATAATGTTACCTATAAGGCGTGGTGGCGGTTTTGTGATAATAGAAATATTAATCCGTTCCAACCATCTGTATCTCCTTTTTTATCCTTTTTAACTGACCAGTTTAATGGCGGTTGTACATATGGAAGTCTGAATTCTCATAGATCGGCACTGTCATTACTTCTCGGCAACAATATTGGTTCAGACGAACGTGTAAGTCGATTGCTAAAAGGAGCTTATAAATTAAGGCCAAACGTTCCCAAATATACACAGACCTGGGACCCTCAACGTGTTTTAAATCACGTTGCAGAGTGGCATCCCAATACAAACTTGAACCTGGAAAAAATTACTAAGAAATTAGCAATCTTGTTAGCCCTACAGCACATAGAGTACAAACCCTATCATTAATTAAATTGGAAAATATATCATTTTCTCACAATAACGCAAAGATCATAATTACCGATATAATAAAGGCTTCAGCCCCAGGCCGAGAACAACCTGTACTCCTGATTCCATTTTTCTTAGAAAATGTGAATATTTGCCCAGCTACCGTTTTAAAAGATTATATTTCTGTCACAGAAAGTAAAAGAACAGAAAACAGAGGTAAACTGTTCCTCACTCACAAGCCACCACACAGACCAGCCACGACACAATCAATCAGTCGATGGATTAAACAAGTGCTATCGGAGAGTGGAGTGGATGTATCAAAGTTTGGCGCACACAGCACTCGCCACGCCTCTACCTCAGCTGCGGGCCGTGCGGGTCTCAGCGTTGATGCCATCCGTAAAGCTGCCGGATGGACTCCTACATCAAATACTTTTGCGCGATTCTACAATAGAACCCTTGTTGATGAGGGGAAATTTGCAAGATCTGTTTGCTTTACGTCGAATCTTTAGGTTAAGACTGTATCGGCACTCATAAATACAAAAACTAATTGTTCCAATTATCGTGATTATATAACGTTTCATGTACGATTAATAACTAATAAATATATTCTAAGAAATATATATTATTTTATTACAAGGAAAAACTTTCTGCTCTAAAATTCTACCTGGTGAATATTTATATCTGAAAAATGAAGCGATGAAATATAATATAAGATCAAACGAACTTCTCAAGTGAAGTTCGATCATTATTATATGAATCGCTTCATTTGAAGATATAATCTATTACCCACCCTCCCATAGCAGCGATTTGCTAGCCCTATTACGGAAAGTTTTTCTCGACGCTCTAAAAATAATGAGCTCAGAATGGCGACTCACCCCGTCCGCGAGTCGGCGGTGGTAGGGGTAAATCGGTTCACAGTTAACTTCAGTTTAGTCAAATGAATGTCTTTTTAAGCGTGCATAGAGTCACCTGTAGGTTAAGGGGACTACCTGGTGAATATTTATATCTTCAAATGAAGCGATTCATATAATAATGATCGAACTTCACTTGAGAAGTTCGTTTGATCTTATATAATTTAACTATCACGAATTATATTTAATCCGCTTATTGACATTACAAAATATATCAATTAATTGCTCGAATCAGTAATTCGAGTTCATAACTAAATTGTAGACAGACACTGCTAACCTAAGACGTCGCCCCCGACAACATAAACTAGAAGTGAATCAGTGAAGTAACATCTATCTATTGCTCTTCGAATTTACACGGTGCGTCGAGTTGACTCGGTAACACAAGCGGGCTCGAGTAAAATTTACTTTCACTCGATTAAACAAATTCATTCGATTGTCTCGAGTGAAAACAGAGTTCGAGTTTCATCACTAGTGTAAGAATAAAGTCTGTGATGGTTATTAAACTTTTTTGGTAGCAAAATTAAAAGGCTTAACTTGTTTGTTTACATTACAAGACAATAAAATATCGTCTTATCGATGCACAAGTATATTAGATACATGGAATATATAGATATACATTATATTCGTATCATAATGTGGATAATATCATGCAGGTTACCGAAATGTTAATATTTCAAATTAAGTATTTCTCTTCTATATATGTATGTGTTCCAAGAGTTTAATTTTCCACCTAGAATTTTAGAAAATCTATAATTTGTGTTGGATTACCTAAAACAAATGCAAACACAGGTCTGAGAACCTTATTAGTATGTTAAAAATGACAATGTATTAAAGTTTTATGTTATAAGTAAAATCTAAATTAAATATTAGATAGAATAAATACACAAAACAAGTTTTTGTGTATGTTAAATGAAAATTAGAATCTTTGGGTCGAGGGATTTAAAGAAACTTCTCTATTTGATGTAGCTTTATGGGCTTTGACAAGAATTTCGTTATGTTAATTTTGGGACGGAAGACTAGATATAAAAAAAAAGATAATTTTCCGAATGTAGCGAAAAAACACTCGAGTATTTTATCAAGCGGTTTAAACCCCAGCCGAGTCAACATTTGTTACTTATGTTATGGTTTCGCCTGGGTTCTGGGTTTCGGTTATATACTTAATATTTAGTTTATAACTTTAAATACATAATTAAATTACCCGTTAGTGTATATTTAAAACTGTGGTAGCCTTCTACTCGTTTCTTATCGGTTATCGACATCCAAACACGCAATGCCACTATTTTTTTGTCTCTCACGATGGCCACTTACAACGGAAAACCTCTTGATAACGAAAGCAGTATTAAACCAACGAATTCACCTAAACTAATTTACGGGCCAGACAAGATCGCAGCACGAACCATTTCCTTTCCCCCTTTTTTATTTGAAGAGCGATTCATTAAACTGCATTAAGGTACAAATACATTATGTATTCAGCAAGTTGCTCTATATAACTTGACAATACTGAATGGCTTATTTGGTAGTCCATAAATGGATCCTGAATTGCCAGCCATAGTAGATAGATAGTATATATGTTACATATATTTATGTGTAAAAAAGTAGTAAATACTTGTACCAGAAGCAAATATACAGTTTGTATAAGTATTGTGGCTTAGTTAAGCCAGTTTTAATCTTGTAATTGTTAAATCGTTGATGTTTTGGACCATATCCTGCGACGGAATCAGATTATTCTATTATGCTTAGACTGCTGTATTGTTAACTCTGCAGAAAGGAATATTATTTTGTGATCAAAAAATTATATATTTTCCTCCTACATGAAACCAGTAAAAATAAAAAGTCGGACAACTTTTACATAGTCCAATATTGTTGATGTAAATCAATAATTACTGTTTATGCCCAAATTTGGTCATTTTGAATGCTATCCAATAGCGTTCGAGCTGCGCGTCACCCGATGGTATGTAGGTGAGAAAAACGCCGCCAGGCGGGGCGGCCGTGTGCGGCTTGCAGTGGCTCGACGCGTGGATGAAGAGAGGAATAGCTCGCTGGCCGCGATGCGGTGAATCCGCCTATCTCGGTTTATCGTGGCCGAAGTTCACGCGACCGTTGTAGGGTCCAGATGGTTAGATTTAGTGCGTGTTACTTCGCTACGGAGATATGTGAATTATGCAATATTTAACTTGCTCGGGTGATGCGGAATTTTGCACGCGCGCGCCGAATAGATATACGGTCTAGGATTCGAACCGCGCATTCCTTGTTCGAGAGCGTCTCCCGGTTGACTGTCTGAAAATCCTGTGTTCGTTTGTCATAATCAACTTTGTAAGTGGGTGATCGCTGTGTAATATGGTTGGGTGTTTTTTGTCATAACTGTATTGTGACAGACTTATACGACCACCGACCTTTATAAGGTCGTTTTCGAAAAATGGTTTTAGGGAAATCAGCTTTGAATTTTTTGGTAATGATTGATTGTTTTTTTAGTAAATTATATTCAGTGGGAAATGATTCCAACTGGGCAAATTTAATTAAATTATTTTTTGATTGTTTAATTTCTTCAGGCGTTAGTGAGCCTTTGATTTTGTTACCTTGATTTTTACAGTTATGAATAAATCTTAGCACATAAGCAAAGATACAATATAACTTTGTATCACTTGACCATTTTTCGAAAAGGTTATTAACCCATGTATTTGTGTGTGTGTTTTTGTTTGTCGATGTGACGTTGCATGTTGTGCTTTGTGTCTTCCTAACTTCTGGTAGTGTACCTAAATGTTTGTTTTCTTGGTGTGGCCATTCCTGGTTGGGCTTCCTTAGCCAAGATGGCCCATGCCACCATAGTGATGCAGATTGGAGTTTTTCTGCTGCCATTCCCCTCGATAAAATATCGGACGGGTTCTCTGAAGTTATTACCCAGTGCCATTGTTCTGGAGAGGACTGTGCCTGTATCTGTCTTACTCTGTTGGCTACAAATGTGTTCAGTTTGTATGGTCTGAAGACTTGTCAAGCCATAATTTTTGAATAAGGCATTTCGCTACTATCACGATTGGAGAAATTAAACCGATTGGGTCGTATATACTTGACACGCAGGACAGAATTTTGCGTTTGGTAATGGGATTAGACATTGATTTTGTCTTAAATTTATAGATGAGTACATCATTTTGGCTGGACCACTCTAACCCTACAATTTTATGGGTATCATCACCTAAGGGGATGCTTGGAGAGCCGCTGGTGATGCTGTGTTGTATGTTGGTATTGGTGTTTGTGTTGGCGTTTGTATGTGAAAGTATCTCACCAAGCAACTCTTGTGAGTTGGATTTCCACTTCCGTAGTGTGAACTTGGCTCCCTGCAGAATCCTGAAGATCTCCAGCACAGTGGCGGCTACTTCGCATACCTCGTCTCCACCTGTCAGCAGATCATCGGCGTAGAAGTCACTGGCGATGGCATCTGCTGCTGCTCGGGTAATGGAAGCCTCCACACACGCCGTGGTTGGTTGAGCTGTGGATTGACAGTTTAAGGAGGCGTGAGTTTCTTGTGCTAGCTGTAGCAAGCATCGTGTTGCTATGTGTGGTGCTGGTTTCAAGCCAAAACTTAATGTAGTTAAGGTGTATGTTTTCAGTTTGTGATAGGGTTCTTCTCTCCATACAACGCACTGAAGATGTCTTTGGCTTGGGCATAAAAGTATATTACAAAACATTTTTTGAATGTCTGAATTTACAACATACTTATGCTTTCTATATCGTAATAGTATTTCTATAAATGGGTCCTGTTTTATTGTACCTTTATGCAAAATGTCATTCAGTGAAATACCCGTAGAAGTTGGGTTCGAGGCATCAAAAACTACTCTCAGCGGAGTTGTTACTTTTTCTGGATTAATTACTGCATGATGTGGGAGATAGTTGCGTTTTAAGTCAGGATCGGCATCGTCATATTTGTCTTTAATCATGCGACCCGCCTGTTCCAATTCTCTCATGAAATTTACATATAATTGTTTACATTGGTTATCGCGTTCAAATTTTTTCTCAAGGGACTTAAATCTTTGTAGTGCAATACCTTTCGAATCGCCTAGGAGGTCAGGTGATGCTTTAAATGGTAAGCTAACTACAAAGTTGCCGTCAGAGGCGCGAGTGTGTGATTGAAACACCTTCTCGCATTGTTTTTCATCATGTGACAACTGTGACGAAATTAAACCATTATCTGTGCCACCACTGGTACACTCCTCTAACTCCCAAAACTTCCTGAGCTGAGAATTAAGAGATAAGTTGCACCTTACCTTAATTTTTCGCGGTGCATTCACTAGGGCGCCGGTAATTATCCAGCCCAATCGCGTACTTTGTAGAGTAGGCAGTCCCTTGCCTAATTTGTATTGTTCACTGCACATCAATTCGTAAAATAACTCTGCTCCGAGCAACATGTCTATCTCGCTCGAAATATGGAATTCTTCGTCTGCGAGTTTTATTTGTTGTGGAATGTTTAAATATTTTGGGTTAATTGCATAGTTGGGCACGTTGCATATACTTGGTACAATTAAACAGGTTAGGTTTGTTGAATATGTGTGTGTCACTTCGTGATTGGAGGTTAACTTCGCAAAGATAATCAATTTTTGTTGAATTTTCACTAAATCCAATTACCTGCATATCGATTTTATGCTTCGGCAAGTTTAATAAACAATAGGCTCGTTCACTAATAAAATTCGATTGTGCTCCCGAGTC